TGGCGACCTGTCTAGCCCTGTCAGATGGTGACAGATGGTAAACCAGGCACACCCGCTTCAGTGTCTGCAGCGGGGCTGCCTAGCAAGATTCCCACTGGTTCGTCCCTATAGTGGGAACCATGGCTCCAGGCAGCAGCAGGTGGCCTTTGGGAAGAAACTCAGGGGGCCCTTCGGACACTTCAAGGGGGAGGGGCACAGAGCCATCTTGAGTCATCCTCTGGAACTCATCACAACAGGACAGATGCAGCTTTTCAACAGCGGCCTTGTCCATCAAAGTGTGGGTGCTGGAGGTATATGCTACACGGAGGCCGGCCCGGGTGTTACCAGCACACCGCAGAGTATGACACACCAGAGAAAAGGGAGGAACCACAGCCTTCAACAAAGGCCACAACAAGGACACATCCCAGAACACAATGAGCGGAAAAGCAAGTTACAGAACATGACACCATCTTTACAGAGCGTGAAACCAAACGACACCATATGCTGGGGCCACATACAGTACTCACAGCACAAGGGGCAGCGGGAAGCTGCTTACGAAACAAAGCCGGGGGCTAATAAGCACAAAGAGCAAGATGGTGGTTAACTCTGGGATCGTCAGTCGGTGCCCTGGTATTCATTTCATTATTTTGTTACACAGAGGCCTCCTGATTATACGTTTTGTACGTCTTAAATATTTCATAATTACAACCCCCCCCCAGGCAGAGCAGTGGTCATTACTCAAGCCCCAGGCCTGCAGGCTCTGGCATGCCTTCCAGGCTCCTCCCGGGCATGGCTGCTCATGGCTCACGCCTCCCGGGGTGCAGGCCGCCAGATGACAGGGCTGCCGCCCGGCACAAACCAAACCTTAGAACTGATCGTTCTGTCAGCACGCTGAAGCCGTTGTCCTTTGCTCCTTCGGGATCTCCCTCTCCCCCTTCAGCCTGACCCATCGGCTTCAGCAAGCTGACTCCCACTTCTGTGGGCCTGTCCCCTGGGATGCCCAGGCCTCGGGTACACCCATCCAGTACAGCCCCACCACCTTCCTTCTACTCGTTCATCCCTTCAGCAAGTACCTGTGGAGCACCTGCTACATGCCAGGCGCCATACTCAGTGCTGGGGATGCAGCAGGGAATAAAATCCCACAAAACCCTCTGCCTTCATGGAGCTTACATTTGAGTGAGGGGAGACTGGCAATGAACACTGAATTAATACCTAGAAATCAAGAAGAAAGCAAGCAAAAACCACAGCAGAGCCAAAGGATAGGGAGTGAAGGGAATGGCAGGGAGTGAGGTTGGGGAAGGCCTCCCTGAGGAGGTGACCTTGGGACAGAGGTGACTTGGGACAGAGACATGAGGAAGGGAGGGGGACCACATGGATATCTGTGGAAGAGCCTTCCTGCCCGAGGGAGGTAAAGGGCAAGGGCCCCCGCCCCTCCTCTCGCCTTCTCCTGGAGCTTCCCCCACCCCAGCCCAGCCCAGACCTCTCTCAAGCACCCTGACCCGCTACTCACCTCATCCCCTATTCTAGTTGTAAAGGGGACCCAGGCTTTCAGGGGGAAGGGGGCTGGGAGGTTACAGGCCACAGAGGCACCTCCATTTGCACTGACCTTTGCTCTGAGCCCTGAGCCTGTCCCCACTGCTCCTGGGAAGCCAGATTTGCTGGAGGGATTAGCCAGGAGTCATAGTTCCTGAGCCATCTTCCACTTCGCTTCTTTCCTCCGGGCATCGCCAGGCCTCAGGGCTGGGTTTGGCCTACAGGCTGTGATTTCTCCCATCCTTGTGAAACCTGTAATACCAGTGCCTGGAAAAAAGATGTTGGCTTAATTACTATTCGTAGCACCAATGACTTCCTACCCCTGAATTTCCCTGAGCGCCACCTGCAGGTAAACTTACGTGGAAAACAGCCTGGGCAACTTCTCCACATGCCAATGCTTGCATGCCCCCAGGGTCGCCATGGCAGAGCAGCTCAGGCAGTGGGTGAGGACCAAAACATCACAGAGGTAACACGGAGTCCAGAGACCTGGGGCCCCTCTGGGGCTCTGCACAGTGATGGCCCAGCAGGGTTTTTCTCTGGGCAGGTCAGGCTGACAATGTTTGTTGGCATCTGCTCCTGAGCCCTCCACCCCAGTGACCTCAGGCCTCAAGCTAACGGCCGTGAGTACTCTGTTGGGTGTCTGCCACTCCCAGGGTGGCCTGGTGAAGGTGGAAGCCTCAAACATCGTCATCACAAATACTGATTGTTCTGTGAAGTCCTAAAGGAAAACACCTGCAGGCTGATTCCACACCTTGAAGACCTCCCGCCTCATTGGTCCACTCTTTCATTCGAGCTCCTACGTCGTGGGTACAAGGGGGACGGAGATGCAGAATGACAGCTCACGGTTTTTGGGTTCTTACAGTGTACCAGCACAATGTTAAGTGCTTTGCTTGTATTTTCTCACTAAATTCTCAACCAGCTCTATGCGGGGGGGGGGGGGGGGGTAGGTATTCTACCTGAGGAGCTGTAAGCACGTGAGGGATGGAGAGGTTAAATGCCACTGGCCAGGCAGCCCCTGCAGAGTTAGGGTTCAGGCTCATGAAGACATAGGGCTTGTCTTGGAAACTACTAGCTGGGGGCGCACAGATGGAACAGCGATGGTTCACATTACAGTATGGCAGCCGAGGCAGGTCCGAACACTCGTCACTACAAAGCCCTGTCACAGAGGGAGGTAGCACTGCTGTGGGCTGACACAGGATCAGTCAGCCGTGGAGCAGGGCTCCTTGGCCTGGGTCTCCAAGAATGCGCAGGAATGTCCCTCCTGGACCAGAGGGGAGCGAACATTCCAGGCAAACGTCTGGAGCGACAGGTCTCCAGGCTAGAGCTGAGAGGAGAACACGAGGGTCTGAGGGGGAGGTGTGGAGATCTGTGGAGATTCCTTCTCTTCTTCCTCTTCCCTCTTGGTGCAACCAAAGGGAACAGGCGCTAAAGGGCCCCCTGCTAAAACTTTAACACATCCCTTTCCTGGGGCTGTCCCCAGCATCTGAGACCTTTCAGGTCCACCTTCGACACAGGTCCTTGGGGGTGCCTGAAGGTTATGCTGGTCATGGCTGAAGTTATCTCCTAACCTTCCCTCCTCACAACCAATGTCTCAGTTCAGCTTCCTCGTGGTGAAGCGCCGTCCACAAGGTCTGTTCTTCCGGGGCTGCCGAGGAGATAAGAGACGGACAAACCTGTGTGAAGCACTTGGAAAGCTGGCGTGAGGCACCCGGAAGGGGCGATGCGGATGATGACAGTGCTTCCTCACCCCTGGCGTTCCAGAGGGTCAGCTCTCTCCTCAAATGCAGTGTCCGGAATCCAACATCCTCAGCCCAGCCCCCAGCTATCACCCTGGTGTACCCACAACCATCTCTCTCCTGAACTACTGGCAGTGTTCTCAGCACAGCAGCTGGTCCGAGTCCTAAAACAGAGGTCAGAAAGTCCTGCACGGACCTCCCACTTCACCAGAGTCAAAGCCAAGGTCTTCATGATGGCCCACAAGGCCCGCCAAGGACTGAAACGCCTCCTCCTCCCTCTGAACTCTCCTACTTCACCTCGCCTCCCTCACTCCACTCCAGCCACACTGGTCTCTTTGGTCTCTCTCCAACTCACCAACTATGCTCTCACCCCAGGGCCTTTGCACTGCTGTTTCCTCTGCCAAGAATGCTCTTCCCCCAGAGATATCCTCATGGCTCTCTCTCTCACCCTCTTTGAGTCTTCATCAGATGTCACTTCCATGAGGCCATTGCTAACATCCCATTGAAAACTGCAACATCTTCCACACCCCTTGCCCCCAACTCTTTATTCTCCTCACTTGGCCCTGCTCTGTTTCTTCAAGTAGCCATCTTTACTTTCTAACTTACTACCTTATTTTGCTTATTTATTTCCCTGACTGCACTGAAAGCTCTACCAAGGCAGACATTTTGTCTGTTTAGTTCTACGCTGTATTCCCAGCATCTAAAACAGTACCTAGCACATAGCAGGTGATCACTACATAGGTATCAAATAACTGAAAGAATGCACACCTTGGACACCTGCCCCAGCTCTCAGTCCGCGGAGCCGAGGCAAAGAAAGCCCACTGGTGACTTTGTGTCCTCCTTAGAGGGCAAGGGAGCTGCATCTCAGCTGGTAGCTGTCCTTGCCGGGCTCAGTGCAACTCAACAGACATTTATGGCGCTCCTGGGCAGGTGCTGTGCAGGCCTGAGATAGAGGCCTCTCCGCCCACCTCATCTGGGTGGGGGGCTAAGGCTGCCGGGAGCAGAGGGGGCGCTGCTAAGGGAGACAGGCCAACCCAGGGTCAGAGGGATCTACTTGAAATCTGAGAGGGCGGGACAAGCTCAGGCCGGCCTCCCCCTCACACCCGCCTCGCACCAGGCCCCGGGCCCTCTAGTCCTGCCTGGCGGGTGACCTTCCCCAGGGTCGCTACCCCTTTTAGGCCTCATTCCCATCTGCCCCCTCGCAGTTTCTCCCAGACCCCCATCCCTCACCCCTCCCTTTCCTCACCTGCCTGCACCACGGCCACTGCCCCCAGCCCTTCCACCTCCCGAGCCCCCGCCCCCGTCCCACTCCAGGTCCCTCTCCCGGGCCTCCCTCCCCTCCCT